TGTGCCAGGCACTAGAAGCATAGCAGCGAACAACACAGACACGGTCCTTGTACTTGTGAAATGTATGTTCTCATGGCAGAGGTAGGCAGTGATGAGTAAGCACGATTTCAAAGTGAAGAAAGAGGACCCAAATGTCCATCAGTAGGAAAATGATAAATTATGGTAGAGTCACACCAGGGCATACTGCTCAGCATTGGAAGTGAACAAGCTCTTGTCACACCCAACCACAAGCATGAATCTCATGATATGTGACATTGATCATATATCGATCTCAACTCCAAAAACAGGCAAAACTAATCTATGATGGCAAAAGTCAGGCTAGTGATCACCTTGGGGACATACAGGAGCTTCAGGGACTTGGGGAATGTTCTTCATCTATATGAGAGTTGGTTACAGGGGAAAGTTTGCTTTGTGAGAATTCTTCATGCCCTGTGCTTCTTTTTCTTATTTTTTTCTTATTTATTTTATTTTTATTATTTTTTATTTTATTTTATTTTAGTATTATTTTTTTTCTTATTATTTTTTCTTATTTTTCTGCATGTGTGTTGCAAGTTAATAGACTTATCTTAGGGAAGACGAGTGCTGACTGTCACAATGGCTGTGAAGGAAATGCCGGGGTCCAGGCCAGCATGTTAGACTCAGGAGTTAGGGAAGACCTTCCTGGGAGGCGCTGGCTCGGTGGAACCCTGCAGTGGCCGCCTTGGGGACAAGCAGGAGAACAGAGTCCCTGGAGCAGGGGAACAGCAGGGCGAAGGCTCTCGGGCAGGAAAGGTTGGGGCACACTTAGAGGCAGAGAAGAGAGGCCAGGGTGCCAGAGGGCGGAGTGAACAGAGAGCAAGTGGGAGGAGACGAATTGAGGAGCCGACAGAGGCTGCATGTGGCAGAGCTTTGGGACCATTTCGTTTATGGTCTGCTCCTTTTCGTTTGACTCTTCTTTGGTGCCAGGCAGATCTTGGGGTGTGTCACCACATTTCCCTTGAATCTTTCCAGCAAACCTGGGAAGTAGGTCTTATAATCCCAACTTCTTTACACCAGGAAGCAAGGCTCAGTAGCTTGGCCAAGGTGACCCAGCTTGGAAGTGAATGCCGCCAACCAGGATTTGGGACTGTGTCTCTCGCTCCCATTCCTGGGTTCTCAACTCCTGCCTCTATGCGCTAGTGTTTACGTAAATGGCTGTGTCACAGCGTGATACGTGCACCCTTATGATTGCAAACAGAATGCCGAGGAAATAGACTCCACTTGGGAGGGGCTAGACCACTAAGACAGGCGTCCTGGAACCGCAGCCACGGGCCACATGCGGGCCACCTAGCACATTTATCCAGCCCTCCGGGTGTTTTTGCCGCCGCTGCCTGTCCTGCTTAGCAGCCAACTCGTCCTGGGCCCACAGTGTGCACTCTCCAATGGTCTGAGGAGCAGTGAACTGGCCCCCTGTTTACAAAGTTTGAGGACTCCTGGTCTAAGACGAAAGATGCATGGGTATAAAATCTCCCCGTAGGCTGCCATTCTCGAAGGAGCAGTGTGTGCAAGGACTCTCAGATGAGAATCGATCGTCACAGTAGCTAACACTGACTGAGCACTCATCCTGAGCTAGCTTCTGCACTGGGCATTTTACTTATCCCAGTTAATCCTCACAACAAGCCTATGAGGTCGATATTGGCCCCATTTTACAGATGGAAAAACTGAGCTACAGAGAGGTCAGTCATTTTTGCCCAGTGAGATGCAGCTAGTGAGTTGACTAAATGAATACGTGCTTGCTTAATTAGTGATGAGAAAAGTAGTGAACGTGAACTTGCAGGTTGCTAAACCCAGACTTAGACGCAGTCCTGCGACTGAAATCTCTGTCCTAGCTCTCCTGCTGAGAGCTGGGGTGCCGAGGGACACGTGGGATGCTTTGTGTGTCTTCATGATGCCTGTTCTCAGAACTTGACTGGAATTGGTGTTCCCAAAAGGCCTTTCTCTTTTGAGGGTTTTATATTCTGTGATGTCTCCTCTGAAATCCTAAAACATAGTTTCATGTGCTCTTTTGTATGCTTTTTCCTCGCCATCTAGACTACAGGGTCCCTGAGGACAAGCCCTTATTTCTTTTGATTCCTTAGTGCGTAGGCCTGGCCCATGGGACCACGGGTTGAGGGTGTTTTGTTGACCCCTGAACCCGCGGGGCCCGGTACGGGGCTGGGCAGAGAGTGGGCGCTCTGTAAATATTTCTTGAATAAACGAGCACTGTGCTTACTTAGCAAAAGGTTAAAGAGATAATGGATTTGGCTTGAGTCAACAATCAATCTGGATCATTCAGATGGTGTGCACATAATTTTATTTCAATTATTTAAGCATTGAAGACAAAAGTAAGGTTTATTAGTTTCCCATTCCTCTCTCACCCCATCAACCCACCCCGGCCCACCCCAAAAGCACACGAAGCTGGAACTGACCCTGTCTTGGATGGAATTCTGAGCAAGAAATTCTGTGAAATGCCTTGGTTGGTCTCGTGCTATAAGGATTTGCAACCTAGCCCGGTTAAGGCTGGCGCACTTAAAAGAAATTTATGTTATAGTGTCATTTTTATGACCAAATAAACTGCCACCTAATATTTCAGTTCAAATAGTTTCAAGCACATACAAAATAACTATGATTTTCTCTTCAAGTCCCCTTAAACCAAGATCCCTGGGTCAGAGCAGGAACCACGTAAGTGACTTAGAAGTGAGTTTGTTCCAAGATTTAAGGCCTGCGCCTAAAGTGAGACACCTCAGGGTGAGATAAAATTTAGTTCCTTAAACCCAGCCCTGATCTTCAAAGGCTCTTATCAGGTCAAGTCCAAATATGAGTGGCTTTTCCAAGATGACACAGGCTGGGCATGGTGGCTCATGCCTATAATCCTAACACTCTGGGCTGCAGACACGGGAGGATTACTTGAGGTCAGGAGTTCAAGACCAGCCTGAGCAAGAGCGAGACCCCGTCTCTACTAAAGATAGAAAAATTAGCCGGGCATGGTGGCGCATGCCTGTAGTCCCAGCTACTCGGGAGGCTGAGGCAGGAGGATCGCTTGAGCCCAAGTTTGACGTTGCAGTGCGCTATGATGATGCCACTGTACTCTACTCTGGGCAATCAGGTGAGATTCTGTCTCAAAAAAAAAAAAAAAGGAACCAAGATGACCCACAGGCCAACAGAACTAGTACTGGAATGGTGATCTTCTTACTTTTTCTACTGGAACAGTGGTTCTCAGACGCAGTCTCCCATTATCAATTACGAAGTATAACTTTTTACAGAAAGTTTAACTTTTTAAAGTTAAACCTTTTTACTGTTTAAAAGAGCAAAGTGTTAGCTGTTTTATGTAAATTGTAATATAAATTAGAAGTGATTAAAGGATATTAAAAAATAATATATATTTTATAGGCTTCATTCATTCATTTAACCCAGGGGTCCTCAAACTTTTTAAACAGGGGGCCAGTTCACCGTCCCTCAGACCGTTGGAGAGTGTGCACTGTGGGCCCGGGACGAGTCGGCTGCTAAGCAGGACAGGCAGCGGCGGCAAAAACTCCCGGAGGGCCGGATAAATGTGCTAGATGGCCCACATGTGGACCGTGGGCTGTAGTTTGAGGATGCCTTATTTAACCAGTACTTTGTTGGTGCCTGGCACATGGTAAGGCACTAAGCTAAACCCCAGGGAACATCAATGAACAAGACGGCAGGAAAAGACGGATCATCTAACACATGCTGTCAGAACTAACCAGTAGTTAAACAGGTGCGCTGTGGAATCACAAAGCAGGAAGACCCACCCCGAGCTAGCGGTTAGGAAGGGCTTAAGGGCTTCATAAGTTGGTACTGCTCATGTTGACACTGAAAAACAGCAGCTAAGAGGTGAAGGAGGGAGAATAGTCCAGAAATATTTTAGGAATGTTTTCCTAAGAGGAAAGAAAGGTAGGATTGATAAGGCAGAGAACTGCACATCCTGAAAGTGCATCCTTGAACTGAACATCATCTATCATGTAGTCATGGATGTAACAGCAGCAAAAACGTTTGAGAACCCCTGCACATTGCTATATTGCACTTAGCAAGATATTTCAGACCATCTGAGGGGCTTGTGCAGGGGTATGGTTTCTACTAAATGTTTAACAATCATCTCTTAGGGGAAAAAAAAATCCTGCATTATAGCATTTGCCAATTTCCGTGGTGTAAATATTCCCACCCTGGGAATAAGCAAAGCTGCCGAGGAGATACCACTGAGCATGGAGTTGGGAAGAGATGTGTGGCACTGTAGTTTCTTCCACAGGGATCCTGATATTTTCCTCTGTAGTGGCCAGTTTATTTGGAAGAGCTTCTTTTTAGCTTGATGAGAATGCAGGCATTCAAAAATGATTGAATATTTAATGTTAGCATTTGAGTAACAGAAAAGAATGTGGGGTGTTAACAATCTAACTGCTGTCTTCATTAGTAATGCTTTAGAGCAGGGGTCCTCAAACTTTTAAACAGGGGGCCAGTTCACTGTCCCTCAGACCATTGGAGAGTGCGCACTGTGGGCCCGGGACGAGTCGGCTGCTAAGCAGGACAGGCAGCCAGAGGGCCGGATAAATGTGCTAGGCAGCCCACCTGTGGCCCGCAGGCCGTAGTTTGAGGACACCTGCTTTAGAGAGTCTTAGATTCGCTTTTCCAGGGGAGTCTAATCCTCTATATCATTTCCATCATGCAAATATCACAGATGTAAGTAACATCACAAGCACAGAAGAAAGTAAAATGTAAAATAATCAGGAGGCAATGATTTTTGAGTATTACAAATGTGTTACCTTTGTTTCCATGTGATTTAACTGTCATTTATATTGTTTTTGAATTGTGGGTGCATTTAACACTGGCTCATAAGAGTTTCCATGAATTTAGCCATCAGCTCTCACGCACCTGTTGCAAGCCAGCTCCACCATCCTAACGGGCCTGGCATCTTCAGCATAAGGTGACACCGTGATCCTTGTGGTCAGCAAGTTCTCATGCTCTGCTCATTTCTCTGTTCCTTACAGATCAGCAAACAGCAGCTGCAGACAGTCAAGGACCGGTTCCAGGCTTTCCTCAATGGGGAAACCCAGATCGTGGCTGACGAAGCCTTCATGAATGCTGTCCAGAGTTACTACGAGGTAAGGGTCGCCATGCAGACGAAGTTCTGAGCTACTGGCCAATGGGAACGGCAGCTTTGGTGTTCTACGGGATTACCCCTCCCAAGGCAGAGGGCTTGGTGGTTGGGTATGCTGTTAAGGAGTGGCAGCATTTTGTTTTGGGGAAAACTGTAAAGATACACTGCTGTTGACCAACTGATTCTTGTACCAGCCAATGTGCTGAGTGTTTGCCGTATGATTTGTAACAGTCTTACGAGTTAAGATTGATGAGGGTCCCATTTTACCGATGAAGAGACTGAGGGTCAGAAAGGTTAAGTCGGTTAATTCAGGGTCACACAGCTATTAAAATGTCACAACCTGAGACTTTAGGGTGTCGGGGGCATTTTCCCACCACTTACACCATTTCTGAGGCGTGTTAGCACTTCCCAAGGTAGGTGGCTTCGTGAACCTTCTTATTTTTTCTATTAAAATGCCACTTTGGGTTCTTTTCTGGAGGTTAGAACACTGTCCAAAATGCAGTACTCTTCTCTAGAGAAAACTGGCAAAAGAGTGACTATGTCCTGAGTATATATCATAAGTAAATTGTCTCACCGCTAGACCTCACAGGTTCATTTATCAGTAAAGCGGATTTGCAATTCCACAGATATTTTTAAATTGTCTAAGTGTTCTTTCTCAGTGTGCACGTTGGCTATTGTCTGCACATGATTAAGGAAATGGGCGTGCCATACCTTCCTATTGGCAAATATTTCCCACTATGCATATTTTCAAAAATGATTATTTGGTCATTGAAAGACATTTTATTATACTTTTTGAAAATTTTATTTTTTATTTCTATAAAATGAACACATTTTAATGTATCAGTAATATCTCATTCATAATCAATTAAATCATAACATTCATTTCAAATGCACTTTAAAGTAACTTTGGGAACATATTTTTATGGGTACATTCAATGGTCTAAGCACAAAAACTCCTAATCTATACCTTGAAAGAAAAATGTAAATTACTACACACACCTTTTTCTAGACCTGAGCAACTATGTTAAATTAAAGAGGTGATAAATTCATATAAATTGACTAAAAGAAAGGCAGATACCATCATTACAATTAGCTATGACAGATTCCTTTTGCTCTCTTTAAACAAGTAAATAATGATTGGCCAAAATTTGTTAGAGGAAGTGGATCTAGTAGTTTTGTATTAAGAACACATAGAAAAGAGTATGATAAACAATATGTGTGGTTGTTAAGGAACAAATAAAGAAGATGAAATCACCTGAGTCTTGAGTAAGTTAGATTACATCAACATCACAGATTATTTATTAATATCTCAACATATTAATTAGAGATACAGAAAGTTAAATGCATCATATAGTTGGATACTTTTGTTTATATATTAGTTCCAATTTAATGGTGAGTACATATGGTGTTTGTTTTTCCAATATTGTGATACTTCACTTAGAAGAGTACCTTATATTAATCTATTTTAATCTGCACCAGATAAATATTCTTTGTATTTGGAATCCTATGCCTAAAATGTCTTATCTATCCATTGCCAAGCCTAGATTAAAATAATTAAAAAACAACTCCTAAGCACTAAAATCTCATGGTATCCTGCCATATGCAATTGGAATAATAATGATAAACTGTAACATAAGTAGAAGAAAATCTAACAGAATCTGATTTTTCTCTATGGTATTGTTTTCCTGATTTTCTCCCTTCCCTCCTTCCTTTCTTAAATTATTATATAGAAAATTTTTCAGAACAAAAATTTTTGTGCTCCTGCTTTGCTGGTGCTCTTAAGTATATCTGGCCCTTGGTTGATCCAGTCCACAATGGATGCTTTCACTGTGTTGATTGAAGCCTTGGTGGAGAAATCCTGATTTAATAAAACTCCCCTTCCCACTTGCTAAAGTACTTCACTCCTTCCTTCATGGAAAGAATAGAGCAAGACTGCAATTAGATCTTGCGAAAATATTATTGACTGGTTTGCTAATTAGCAATTAATAGTAAACAGCCTTTGTTTTTGTGATGTGTGTTAGGTCCGACCACAGACTGATTTTATGCATCATTTCCTTAAGGAAATTTCTGTCTGGATCGCTCTTAGAAGTCAAGTTGATTTTTATATTTGTCTGAATGTAAATCTTTTTTGATTTTTACAATTAGCATCCATTATTGCCAATGAGTGTCAAATTTGGCCGCTTTATCTGATGTGGTGCAATTTTTCGGTTGGATTTCGTGGGGAGTAGAAATGAGATTTGGAATCACAATGATGTATGGCAGCGAATAAGTTGAATACATTTAACAAAGATTTTCTTTAGAAACTACCCAGGAATGAAATTAATTTTTTCCCTTTTTTTTTAAAGTTCTAAACGCCAGTGGGAGAGTAATGGGCAACCCCTTGTCAGGCCAAATTCTTACCAATAGTTCTCCATGTTTAAAGTCACACACCAGAGTGTAAAAATTTGTAGACTGCAACTCTTAATTAGAAAGTTCATTTGACTAATGGCATAAATTAAAAGAAAGTGTCATTTCTATCTATTAATTAAATTTGAAAATTAATAGTCATCAGCATACCAATGAGTCTCTGGGAATTACCATCCTATCTATAGTGATCCTTATATTTTCCTCCATAGTGGCTAGTTTATTTGGAAGAGGTTTTTTTTAGCCTGATGAGAATATGGGCATTGAGAAATTACTGAATATTGAATGTTAGCGTTTGAGTAACATGGGAAAGAAAGTGGGGTATTAACGGTGCTGTTTTCATTAGTAATGCATTAGAGAGTCTTAGATTCACTTTTCCAGGGAAGGCTAATCCTCTAAAGCAAAGATTCTCAATCAGAGGATCAGGATTAGCCCTTTACTCGGGTAAGCTCCAAGTTGATTTGGCCCCCCTTTCTCCCTTTGCCTTCATTCTTGGGCTATGGAGAAAGTAATACCTCTTCCTCCACCTTATTGTGGGATCCAATTGCTTCTCTGTTCATGTCTATCTTAGTTAGGACTCTCTGGAGTACACATGACTAGTTCAAAACCTAGTTCAAACTGGCTTAAGCCTCAAAAGAGATTTATTTTTTCAAGCAAGTTTATTTTTAACCATTTAGAGATTTTTCTACATTTTTTAGGATGATGCGATTGCAAGTTTATTTTTTAACCATTTAGAGATTTTTCTACATCGTCTAGCTTATTTTTATTATTAGCATGTTTTATTTTCATAATCATTTGAAGCACCTCTTCCTACCTGGGAAAACACAAATTTTACCTCCCTTGAAGCAGGGTAAGTGTAAACATCTAAAATGAAATGTGTTTTTAGAACTTAAAAAATATTCTTCACCAACTAGGGAGAGAATTGATTCTATCAATTTTTTAATTCTATGATTTCTCTGCAGCCTGTGGGCACCACAGCACCATTCTCCCCCTCTAACTTTAATGCACTAATAATGGAATTTTCCAGGTATACATAGTCTCATTGAATCTTGAGAACAAGGATGATCCTCTTACAGATGAAGAAACTGAGGCTTGGACTTGGCTGAGGTCCATGGCCAGTGGGTAGTAAGACTAGAATTCAACCCCATCTTTGTTAGACACCAAGCTCATCCTCTTCATCACTCTGGCCTCTGCCTCCTCCTTGCTGGACTTTCCCCTCAAGAACAAATGCCTTTAAAACGGGCAAAAGTGCTGGGCGCAGTGGCTCACACCTGTAATCCTAGCACTCTGGGAGGCCGAGGCGGGAGGATTGCTCAAGGTCAAGAGTTCGAAACCAGCCTGAGCAAGAGCTGTCTCGACTAAAGTAGAAAAAAATTAATTGGCCAACTAATATATATAGAAAAAATTAGCTGGGCATGGTGGCGCATGCCTGTAGTCTCAGCTTTTCGGGAGGAGGCTGAGGCAGAAGGATTGCTTGAGCCTAGGACTTTGAGGTTGCTATGAGTGAGGCTGATGCCACGGCACTCATTCTAGCCTGGGCAACAAAGCCAGATTCTGTCTAAAAAAGGGGGGGGCAAAAGAGCAGTTACTCTTCTCTTCCTGGGAGGTATCTGTTATAAGGCCATTCAGTAGTTATGGTGGCTTTGCTTATTAGAAAACATATTGCTTCATTTTAGACAAAGAGCTGTTATGACCGAGATACTTTTCTTAAACAGAAAAGTTCCACCATAAAAACTAAACAAGATACGTCACCTTGTGTCAAGGACACCTGCAGTTTTGACCTGTCAACTGTCCTTCCCTTTCTGATAAGAGTAGCTCAAGCCTTCCTTCCATGAACACTTTTGCCACTGCACACAGTGGGACTGTCAATCACAGGACCTCGTCCATCTTTAGCCAAGCAGAGGGCTGTGACCAGAGCTTGACCAATCAGACTTCAGATTCGGAGCGGCACTAGAACGGACCGGGGTTGGAGTAGACTCAGACCAATGACGGGCGTCCATTCTATCTCGCTAGTTGGACTCCTGAAGTTCAACTGTTCTGGTTTGTTCTTTTCTGGAGCTTAGTTATTTCCTATAACAGCACCAGCAAAAACAATGGCTTTTCAGCAGCTCCTGTCATTGCTATTAGATCTATCATCATTACTAGGGCTCAATTTGACCACAGGCAGTTTCCGTTGCTAGCAACTGAAGAGTTCTGTCCCAAACAACATTCGAAGCTAGTTTGACCAAAATCAACCAGGCTTTTGTTAGAGAAGACCAGCTTTAAAATCTCTCCTCCTGCCTCAGCCTCCTGAGTAGCTGGGACTACAGGCATGCCCCACCATGCCCAGATAATTTTTTCTATATATTTTTAGTTTTCCAATTAATTCCTTTCTATTTTTAGTAGAGACGGAGTCTTGCTCTTGCTCAGGCTGGTTTCGAACTCTTGACCTTGAGCAATCCTCCCGCCTCGGCCTCCCAGAGTGCTAGGATTACAGGTGTGAGCCACTGCGCCCAGCACTTTTGCCCGTTTTAAAGGCATTTGTTCTTGAGGGGAAAGTCCAGCAAGGAGGAGGCAGAGGCCAGAGTGATGAAGAGGATGAGCTTGGTGTCTAACAAAGAT